TCTTTGGAACCAACTACCATCTGAAATTAGATGTTGTGAAAACCCCCAATGGGTTCAAACGGAGCCTAGAGAGACACATTAACATGTCCACCCTAGCTTGTCTAAAAGACCACAAATGTTGGTAAAATGGTAAGTAAAAGCCGGTCCAGTCTTCAGCTCAGTCAGTTACTTATAACTCGACTCTACTACTTACGCAGCGAACGTTTAACTAATTTACTGATTTTCCTTTCTGTATAGACTTCAATAAGTTATGTTAATATAAGTACTTCTAGAAACAACTATATTAGCAACCACACCTTTTAATATTTTACATATGTATATACAGTTAATAATACAATGCTATTTTTTGTGTCTGAATGACTTTACTCAGCCAATAACCACCTTTTCTCATACACCTTCCTAAAACGTATAATCTTTATAATATTTCGCAGTATTTCTAACATTATATAAGTTGAAGGGTTACTTTGCAATATCTAATGCGCACCGTATGAAAATCGGTCATGAAAAATTTAGCATAACTAGCTCTGTTAACCGGCTGTTTTCTTCAGGATCATTATACATAATTTTATCACTAATTGTTCCACTACACTTTTTACTCTGCTAAATAGACTTCAACTTAGTTGCTGTAATACTAGCTACTTCTATACTTCATACTTCTTAAACACAATTTCCTAGGCGTCTGCTACAAATATATTATTAATATTAGTAGTACTATTTTTGAGTTGAAATGACTATCTTCAGTCAACAGTTACCCATTTTCATGTAATTTTCTAAAAAATTCATATTGTTGAAATTATGTAGTATTTTTCCATTACGTAATTGATGAGTCACTTTGCAATGTGTAACGCACACCATATAAAATCGGTCGTGAAAATTTAGCATAACAAGTTCTGCTAACCAGTTGCCTTACTCAGGACCACTTTACATAACTTTACCACTAATTGTTCCACTACTCATATCACTGCTAAATAGAATATAACTTAGTTGCTCTAATATTAGCTATTTTTATCCTTCATAACTCTTAAGGGAAACCTAATTTCTTAGTCTTTTGTAGTAACCCACTTGTTCACTAGTATGATGATAATACTGCTAACAATGTCCTCTGGTATTATTGTGCCATGTGACCTAATGGGAAGCACTTGTCATGAAAGCTGTTAATGTGCAGCATACTGTATGATTGGGACGGAGTCAAAGCAATCCAATATTACAACTGCAGTCATTGTAAAAGGTCTCAGAGCTTAATGTCAAAAAAGGAGGGAGGGTGGCGCATGCTGATCAGCAGATTTGGTAGTGGTCACAAATGTGAATCGCTCCGATCTGTAGGACAGCAACATGCATTATTTTGGCAGCTCGAGAATTAAACATGAGTTTAGATACTGAAAGTATAATAAAAAAAATTGACTTTATAAAAAATTTAAAAAAACAAACTAAAACAATAATGACTGTACAGTTTTAGCTTGTAAAAAAAAATAATGCTTTCGCTCCTAACATCTACAAGCCTGCTCAGTTTCTTGTCAAGATGCTATCCCATGGGCCATACACAAGTTCACCAGACATCCTACAGGTCACCATATTCAAAAGGTTCTAATCCTTCTAGCCACTTCTCTCTAAAATGTCACTTATATACTTCACGATAATCCCTCTACCTAATTACTATTATACTCTATCTTATCTCAACTTCCTAGGCCTTTAGTAAAGCTGAAATTTACTCTTTTGTTTTTCTTTTTTCTCATTCACACTCTTCTCTCGCATAAAGTTCGGTTGCTCTGATGGTAAAAAAAAACATAACAACAGCACTCATGTTTGAGAATAACTTTATTTTCATAGAAAACGTCATAGTTTTCTACGGTAAGACCAATATGGTTAGCATCATATCATTGCAAATGTGCACTATCATATCAAGTACTGTATAGCTTATTCTTGTATTTTTCTTGTAAATATGCTTCCAATAATGTATTATTCATGATTGCATTTTATACCACTTTGTAGCTGTGCAGGATTTTCTCCTCTTCCTGAAATAGCGTTCAAGCACGTGGTTGTCGCTCAACTTTGATGGAAACCTTCGTGGAAGATTTACAAATTAACAATTATAAGAATCTGTTCCGATTGCTTGTACTATATAATTCAACAATTTGAACTTTTAAAAAAAGTGATAATCTTACTACAACTACGGGTTGAAAACGAAACGAAGTCGATTTTTCTGCGCAACCTGGAGGACTGCTGTTTAATTCAATAATGATACGACATGGGTCAGACAATGAGTGTATTTATATCTATATATATCAAATAATTAGCTGTTCAAACATTATTAACTTGTAGACAATCTACTATTTGTCATTATATCATACTTGATCGTGCCTGTAAAAATGGCATGCATTTTCATGTAAATTTATGTTTATATGAAAATATAAATTATTATTATTATTAACTAGAAAGATGTGTAATTTGTACAGGAAAGCCAGAAGCAAAGCAGAAATAGGAAGAGGGGTGGCGGGGAAAGATCAGGTGGAAAATTCACCTCAGGGGAGAGGAGTTGCTATATGATGAGGGAAACTGGGTCAAAAAAGCCCAGTGTATAGTAGAAAGATGGGGTGGAATATGTACAGGAAAATATTTATGTCAAGAGCAGGAGCCGCCTTAGCAGCAAGCAGAGCGGAAAATGGGCAAAAAGTGAAGTTCAGGGGCTCAGGAAACGGCAGGGGATGGAGCAATGAGGGAATGTGGGTGATCAATGGATAGAGGAGGAAGAGTACTATCGACGGAGAGAGGAATGGTGAGAAAGTGGATAGGAAGGATGGGGCAGGAAGGTGGCGAAATAAGGAAAAGGCTTAAAAATTACTGTAAGAGTGAGGGCTGCTGGACCAATCAGAAGGCCTGATTAGTCCAATGGATTCAGATCAATAAAATTTCAATAGGGTCTATGGCAGGCGTCTTTAGCAAGTTTTCGGTCAATGCAAGAAAAGCTGCTAATTTGCAACACTAGAAAATGAGTAAGAGTTACAGGTTCTCGGAGAAAAATTGGTTTGGAATGGGAATTTAGGGGCAATTATTGGGAGGTAGAAATTAGTTGGGGGTAAGCTGCTTACTGCTTTCTATAGAGCACTGTGAGCACTATGAGAGGAATGGGGGAACTATGGATGAGTCTGGAAGAACGAGCAGAAAATGCAACTCAAAGTTGGAAACTTGCAAGAAATTTGGGTGAAAAATTCGCGAAAATTGTGGAAAGGACGATTGTTCAGTCGAATAGGTTACCAGTGTACGTTTCGGATTTTCAGTGCTTTTAAAGAGTAGATTGAGCAGGTTTGAGAGAGGCTAAAAGACTGCACAAAGGCTGTATAAGAGCAGAGTTATATAATGACAAAGTCGAGAGAAAGCATAAAATAACAGGTGAAAAATAGCGAAAATCGCAAATTGGAGGGTCTCTCAATCAAGCAGGTTACAAGGCGCCGACCCAGGTTTTCCAGGTATTGTAAGAGGATACTAAACAGAGTATAAAAAGGCTGAGTAACGGTTCAGAGGTCGAGAGGGGAATAAGTTATGGGGTCACAAATTCAGGGGTAGGCCAAAAATTACGGAAATTGTGTAATTTACGGTAAAAATGTACACCTTGGTAAAAGATCGGGAAAGTGCGGAAAGTTCAGAAATTTTTGATGAAAATGATGGGATGATGTTAAAAAGTACGAATCAAAGGTGAATTAGCAGTTGTGCTTACTTTTAAGAGCAACAGAAAAATCTATGTGAGAGGTGTTACGTAAGAGAATAAAGTTTCACAGCTTTCAAAGAAACGGTTGGAGCTTGAGGCATTTTGTTTCCTAAGTTGGAGAATGATGATAGAAATTATTTTGAGACGATTCTGAGCGGTAATATTCAGAGAGGAAGGAAAAAAGTGCGAAAATTCGAAAAACCGGGGGGTCAATTAGGAACAGGTATGACAAAAGGTTACCTGGGGACGCAGGGATAGGAACTAATTGGATAAAAAGTAGCTCCCGTCTCACTAGATAGGTCAGGGGAGATGATTAATATGAAGTGGAGGTGTAAAAATTAGTATATTGAAAAATCGGTAGATGAGTCCAAGGTACTTTTTGACGAAAATGACGAAAATTAGTGGAAACAATTTAGTGGAATAAGGAAATATACATATAATATAGATAAATTAGGTATCAAAAGATTCAGCTTATCGAGCTGCAACTAATGGTAACAGTTGCAAGCAGTAGAAATGGAACAGGAACGAGTAAATAAGAAAAAACTGTAAAATGTTATGTTTTCGGTAGGTTACTAGGAATTAACAGGAGAAAATCGACAAATTAAGGAATTGCTTGGCGAAATGTATCTCAAAAGAACGCTTTCAGTGGGTAGTAACACTGAGTAAAAAATGGTAATGAGAGATTTAATAGTTCAGACGTAACAGATGAAAATGTAAATTTCAGAGGACAGGGTCTAGAGGGGGTTAGGGGTAACTTTAGAATAGTGATAAATCAGCATAAAAAGACCCGGTTTTTTATATAGACTACGCTAATTTGATGAAAGTAAGTTATTGAAAACAAATACAAGAACTATTGTTACGAAATAGTCCCTAAATTAGAGATAATAGCAAAACACAAAGACGCCAATTGGGGTGAGTTATAGAATTTGTGAAAAACAATAGTTAAGTGGAAGAATACCACTGGAATAATATTAACTAGGTGAAATATAACGCAACACGTCGGAAAAATGCAGGGACTCACCAAATTGCACCTGTAATATCCGATAAATTATAGGTCCACAACCTGCATCCAATATCCAATATCGTTTTTGCGAGCTAGTATAAACCAATTTGATTTCTTTGTGCTCGCCTCTTGATTGTGAGGTAGAGGTTCCTGATCTTCGGTAAACGTCTGCGTGGCTCGTCCCGCCACTCGACTGCCGTAGCTTTGGTTGACTCCAAAAGGAGTAGTGCAGGGATTAATTATATGTGGTTTGTAGTATGAAGTGTGTTAAGACTGTTACTACTGTGAATGGAGTTGATCCTTTCACCAGTTGGTCCTTCGGTATAGTCGTCAATAGAAAGGAGATAATAATAATAATAGATATAATTAGTAAAGGTATTCAGACTAACAGACATAAAAAGAATAAGAAAACGTAACAACAGTCAGTCAACCGGTATATATATACCAGTAATAATAATAGTAATAATAATAATAATAGGTGTAGTTAAAGGTGTCAGGAGAGTAAGACTGAAGAGAATGTGAAGAAGTAAAACGACCAGTTTAATTGTCTACCTTTGAATGGTGTATGCGATTTTAAGGGGATAGGCCATTTGGATGAAGTCCTTGTGTCGCTGCGTGGTTGTCCAGCCTTCGCTTAAAGGCGTCCACAGATGGTGCCATAGCTACATCTGCCGGTAAGGAATTCCAGGGACGGCAAACCCGCAGGGAAAAGAAGTGGGAGCGCACCCGGGTCCTTGCCCTCTGATGAGCTATCCTTCTAGGATTTCCACGAGGGAGCCTATACCTACTCAATGGCAGAACACCTTTGTTTGGGTGATTCTGATCATTTGTTAATTTGTAGGCAGTAATTAAATCCCCCCTAAGACGATGGTAACTAAGTGTGAATAGGCCTAATTTCTTCAGCCTTTCATCATATGATTTATTTCGGAGACCAACCACTCCTTTTGTTGCCCGTCGTTGGACTCTTTCCAAAAGGTTGGCGTCTCTTTTAAGCAGTGGGGGTGCAATGATATTATGCACTTCAAGATGCGGTCTGACGTATGTTTTATACAACCTTAGAAAGAGCTCAGGAGTGAGTGCATCTAATTGTCTATGTGTAAAGTGTATGACCGCATATGCCCTCGCTACATCCCCCGTGTAATTTACGCTTGTGTCCATTTTCTCCGTTAGAACTAGACCTAAGTCACGTTCCGACGTTGAGCAGGACAAGCTTTCATTGCACAGGGTGTAACTTGCATTCTGCAGTCTACAGGTGCGCAACTTCACTACTTTGCACTTTTTCAGGTTGAAAGTCATGCCACTGGCTACCGCCCAGTCTTCCAGAAGCCTTAGATCTGCCTGCAGTCTATCTGAGTCCTCCGGACACTTTATCGCCCTCCATATCTTCACGTCATCAGCGTATAGAAGAGTCGGGCAGCTTAGACGGCATGGTAAATCATTGATAAAAATCAAGAACATCAGTGGTCCCAGGATAGAACCCTGCGACACTCCTGATGACGAGCTGTGCCATGATGATCGAACTCGATTGACCTTGGTGCAAAATTGCCTTTCAGTTAGGTAGTCCTTCAACCATGACAGAAGTGGTTTACCTAACCCTACTTGGCTTATTTTGTGTAGGAGAAGGTCATGGTGAACAGTGTCAAATGCCTTCTCAAAGTCTAGAAAGATCAGATGAACTGGAACATTCATATCCCAGCATGATGTCCAGTCGTCCCAAGCTGATAATAAGTTAGTGACGCAGGATCGCCCTTTCCTGAAACCGTGTTGGGCTTCATGGAGTATTTTAGACCTATCCAGATATTCCCTGATGTGATCATCAATAATACTTTCCAGTACTTTCGATACCACTGGGAGTAGAGCTACTGGTCTATAACTTGTGGGATTTTGCCTATCCCCACCCTTGAAGATCGGAGAAAGGATGCTTCTTTTCCATTGCTTTGGCAGTTTCCCTGATTCCATGGAGTGTTGGAACAAGTCGCAAAAGGCCTACAGAGAGCTTCGGCGCACTGTTTCAGAACAGATGGCCTGATGTCATCACAACCTGGGGACTTCCCAGGTATGAGTCGCTGCAGCTTTCTCAGTACTATTGCAGGGTTTATTTGGGGGGTGGCTATTTGGTCTTCCTCCTGTGAAATAGTCATGCCACCATTTTGGTCCGTAACGGTAATACCCACATTGCTGTTTAGCTGTTTGGCGAAGGCTAAACTAAATGTTTCAGCCATCTCCAGACTAGTGAGATATTGACCGTTTTGGCCTACTAAGGCGCACGCCCCCTGGTTGGTTGGTTTCCTTTCCGACATGAATCGGTACAAATTCTTGGGGTTTGCCAGGAGTTTTTTAGCAAAGTTAGCCTGGAATGACCTCCTGTCCCTCCTGCCTCTTGCATTGCACCGGTTCCTGAGTTCCAGGTATGCATCATGGTCGATCTGGCTTTTAGATACGCGCCACGTAAACCAAGCCTTCCGCTTTGCTTGCAGAATACGCTGCGTACCTCTCTTTAACCATGATGACTTTCTTTTGGACTGTGTTGTGACTAAAGGGACGGTATTCGAGATTACTGTATGAATAATCTTTTTTACCGCTTCCCAGTGTTCATCCACAGACAGCTCATCCCATGCTAAGGGCCAGTCTGCGTCGGACAAGAGCCTCCGCATTTCAGCATAGTCAGCCTTGCTGTAACACAGACATGGTTGCGTAGCGTCCCACTGCAAATGCTCACGGAGAACGAGGTCGAAACCTATGACTGCATGGTCACTACTTCCTAGAGGAGTCATGATCTGGACCTTTTCGACAAGAAGTTGGTCACTAGTCAGAATGTAGTCTAGTTTTGATGACTTTCCACTAGGGCCCCACCTAGTGTCGTCTCCAACGTTCTCAGTCAGTCCCGTGTTCCGAATAGCTTGCAGTAGATTTCGGCCGAATTTTCCCTTAGCATACCCCGAGCCAAGGTTCAGTGATGGGGCATTGAAATCTCCAGCAATGGTGATTTGGTCATAGCCCAAGTCTCGTATCCCTGTGATAGTGGTGAGCAGTAGCTGATTGTGCTCTGCCCCACATGTGGGAGATCGGTAGATGCCACCAAGTAAATGCTTGGTGTGGCCTACGGTGAAATGACACCATATGGAGTCTGGGAGTTCAATAAGTGGTGGGTCCGTTGCGCGCACACATTTAAGTTGTCTATCAAAGTATATGGCAACTCCCCCTCCTTCCTTATTATCCCTGTCTCTCCTGACTAAAACCATATCACCTACACTGATTTCATTATCGGCGATAGTGGGGGTTAGCCATGTTTCGGTGAGAATGATCATTTTCAGTTGTAGGTGTGCTTGGAGATTTCGGAGTTCACCTATTTTTCTTCTCAGCCCCCTCACATTGCTATATAGGCAGCTGACAGTGAGTCTTACAACCTCAGCGTGTTGCAGGGTAGTTGACGTGAAGCTGTCTGCTGGTAGGGGACTTAATGTTGGGACTAGTTCCGATGGAACCGGCCCGTTGTGGTTTTTTCCCTTGGATTTAGGCAGGACACTTGGGTGGCACAGACTGTTATTCTCAGAACTGCATCGCTCTAGTGTCACTGAAGCTTGAGGACGTATTAAGGCCTCCGTTTGCTGCCTCCTTAGGGTTCGAGGTCTGCTTTCGCAGCATCGGATGTGTCCTCCCAATTTCCCCTTGATCTCATACCACCGTTGAAGTGCTATGGCCGACTGCTCTGGGGAGTTGAATGTGACACTTAGCAGCTTTGGGGAGCTAATCAGTGTGAGATGAGCAGGTGAGGTAGTCGGTAAACGGAGATGGCTCCAGAAGCGCCAAGGGCCATCTGAGACGACAGCCATCTCCACTGCTGTACATCATGCATGTGTTTTTCACAGGCAGTACCCGTTTCTAGCTCCGGAACACCGTGTACCACCATAGAGGTAGAAGGCAAAAGTTCCGGTGACTCCCTCGCCATTTGTCTGACAGCCCATGGTCTGTCTTGTCTCAACCTTATGTTAGAGCTTCTGTCGATGGCTAGTACCTGAGCCATCAATAGTACCTACTCGGCCTCTTCGGCAGAGTCCAGTGTAACCCGTAATGGGGGTGGCTTACCTTGAGGTGTGTGGATACCCCTGTACAGCCTGCACAATTTCACTGAACTAATATTCAGACCTACTTTATTGCACAGGTTGGACCACTGTTCCTGACCAAACAGGGCCCGCTGTTCAAGCAAGCTGTCCTTGCTCACAGGTACGTTAAAGAATATAAGAGAATTAGACCGATTAACCTCAGACTTAGGTTTGGCCTTTGGCTTCTCGTATTCCTTTGCAGCATCAGCAACTTTAGGCTTCGTCGGGTTCTGGCCAGCCTTTATTGTGTTGCCGAGCTTGCTTGTGGATGCAAGTGGCGCTTCTCTAATTCTATCTTTCCTTGATTTTTTGGGTCCAACCTTTTGAATCTTCACCTTGTGAAAATTGGCATTTTCAGTCAGTAGGACTGGAGGGTCCTTCTTACTGTCTGTGCCAAGTTTTGGCAATGTGATGTTTGCAGGTGGGGAGCTACATAAGGCCGTGTTGGGACACAAGGGCGGCGTGTTGTTTCTGCTATCCGCAGACACGCTCTGTGTGACTATGCCAGGGCGACAGAGTGGACAGATGTACCAAAACCACGGGCATGGGTTATTTCTCATAAACTCGTAGTATGATTTCGGTACCTTTGTCGCAACGGCAGTGCACCCACCGTTTGCAAAAATTGCATTCGAACGCTGAGTCAGCTTTAGAAACAATGATATTGCACGCCTGGCATTCGTCTCCCTTACTTGGTGACGCCTTCGAGGTCTTATGACGTCTTGAGCGTTTCCTTTTAGGTTTGTTATACTTCACACATTGGCTTTCAGTTGGTGCAGGTGTAGTATCCTGTCCCCCTAGTATTGCCTGTGCCGTTTCAGTACTAGACTGTGGCAATGCAGGCATAGTATCAGGACAGACGAGTCCTACACGAGTCTTTAGGATGGGTATGCGACTTGGGGTTGGTGTCCCTGGGTTTTTGCCTTCTCTGGCTGAAGCCCTTGTGACTACAGAGTAAGGTGTTTTGGTGCCATTTCTAAGGTTACTTTCTACAGCCATATTAACTATCGCTAAAACTTATGCTGTATAAGAATAAGAGTACAACAGTATCTACCCACAAGAACAAGAATAAGACTGAAAAAGTACAAGACAAGGAAAAGAAAAGGTTTTCGACTTTACCTAGTACTTTCTGGATGATCGGCTTCACAGCAATCACGTGGTAGACCAACAAGTCTTGTTTATCTGAACGAGTGAGGAAGATGCTGCTACAAAAATAGCACCTGAAGCTTTGGCAGTAGTTCGAGACAGCTGGACTTACCACACAGAGATTCAATACGTAAGTAATGGTTGAATTTAATTCACCGGCTAGGGAGATCAGGTTTCCCAAGCGGATAATTCACAAAATAGGTATTTTCCGGTTAGAGAGGAAAAAGCACGTCGTATTCAAGGAGCGCGCGCAGGGTAATTGGTAAGTCAGTGAATATGATAAATCCAGCAGTAAAGTCTGTGTATAGGGTTTTGATATGCGTAAAATATGAAAATGGAACAGTTTTTATGTGTTTCTGTATGTAAAAATCCACAGAACAAGAGTTGGTAATTTAAGAGCGGAATGTAGCGCTCCCGCCGTTTACCCGCGCTTGGTTGAATTTCTTCACTTTGACATTCAGAGCACTGGGCAGAAATCACACTGCGTCATAACCGGTCAGCGGACATCGCAATGCTTTGTTTTAATCAGACAGTCGGATTCCCCTGGTCCGTACCAGTTCTGAGTTAGCCGTCGCGCGCCAAACAATGGAAGCACAGCTGCTTGACGCAACGCAGAGCAAGTCCACGCGCGTTGTTAGCCATACAACACTAACAGCTGAAACCGCCCACGATCGATCGCGGTCAGAGTCCAGTAACTCCACAGCAATGTGCATCAAAGCAGCAAAGAAACCAGCCTCCAACTGGACCGACACGTATCTGATCTCGGCCTGTCTGACTGGGCCCCAAGAGCCAATCCTTCTCCCGAAGTTACGGATCCAATTTGCCGAATTCCCTTACCTGCATTATTCAATTGACAGAGGCTGTTCAACTTGGAGACCTGCTGCGGATATGGGTACGGCCTGCCACGAAAATTATACTGTCTGACCCGGATTTTCAAAGGCCGACAGGAGCGTTCCGGACACCACAAGAAGGGTGGTGCTTTACGGAGGCTAGCCCCTATCTCCGGACAAGCCGATTCCAGGGGGTGGATACACTTCTAACAAAGAAAAGAGAACTCTTCTCAGAACTCCCGCCGACGTCTCTGAGTTCGGTTGCGTTACCGCGCTGGGCACACACTGAATCAAAGATCCAACGTGCACCATTCTCCGTGGACAGGGTCGATAATATTAACCCGATTCCCTTTCGCTACAGGAAGCTGCGTTGCAACAGTACTCTAGCAGCGATACTAACAAAGCCCGAAAGCGGACAATGTCTCTGTTCCGTCTCTGTTCCCGTCTCTTTTCCAATTTACCGGATCACTTAGGACCGCCTGACCCATGGCCAACTGCTGTTCCCATGGAACCCTTCTCCACTTCGGCCTTCCAGGTTCTCACTTGAATATTTGCTACTACCACCAAGATCTGAGCCTGTGGTTGCTTCACCTAGGCTTACCCCTGAGGCTTCCCGCTAGCCACAGCGACCCTCCTACTCGTCGCCGCCACTGCATGCCTGGACCAAGTCAGTTTGCCCTCACCCTGCTTAGGCCCAGCTTGCAGCAACGGTACGGTATAGGTCCAACGCTCGAGCACCATCCATTTTCAGGGCTGGTTGATTCGGCAGGTGAGTTGTTACACACTCCTTAGCAGTTTCCGACTTCCATGGCCACTGTCCTGCTGTCTGGACCAACCAACACCTTTGTGGTATCCCATGAGCGTCGCGTTAGACATCTTAACCGCACAGCGCCAGTTCCGCTTACCAGAAATGGCCCAATTGGCACTCACATTCAATGCAAAACTCCATTTAAGCGAGTTAAGCTTCTCACCCACTTAAAGTTTGAGAATAGGTTGAGGATGTTTTCTCCCCAATGCCTCTAATCATTCGCTTTACCGGATAAAACTGTTTATATCTCAGAATGCCAGCTATCCTGAGGGAAACTTCGGAGGGAACCAGCTACTAGATGGATTGATTAGTCTTTCGCCCCTATACTCACGTTATACGATCGATTTGCACGTCAGAATCGCTACGGTCCTCCATCAGAGTTTCCTCTCTCTTCAACCTTCGCCAGCATAGTTCACCATCTTTTGGGTCTCAACATGTACGCTCTTGTCTTTTCACTGAATCACTCGTTTTGTAAGTAACTGATATTCGTCACTCAAATTATTTGAACAATTGATGAACATTCCACTGATTGCCAGATGCACAGTTCATGTACGTCTTCCTAGAATATGTTGGAATGGCTAATAAAAAGTAATCGCTTACTAAGACATATATGATAAATAAATACAATCACCACTCACGAATGACTTCCTCATCGATTTTCTCTTCCTCATTACTTGTATCATTCATTATCGCTTATCTAAACTTTTGATTACCTGGCAGAGTATAAACATGCCGTAAAGAAAGAAGGTTAAGCTTGTGTTCTCCCACCGTATCAAATCTCTCACCATACTTCTGCTTACAAGCCACCAAGACTGCTTCAAATTGCAACATTAAAGCATATTTCAGTGATGTACATTTCTTCCATGAAATCCTGAGTGAGAATTTCTGACTGAACCTGTCATTACTTAAGGCAGTCGTCTGAGTTAGGTTTAAGCGAAATCCACTGGACAGGATTTGTGTTAAATACGCTACTGTAATACACGCAATATGGTGAGTAGAATCTTGTGACCTCGGTGTGTGAGAGATGTAGTTTGTACTTCGTTATATGCCCTATCACTGCAAGTGAGTAGGGTTGGGGTACAGTGCATCTGTACCTACGGTGATCTACACGAGAATGTACACTGCAAGGATACAGAGATTCTAATGAATAATGTTCAACAG